GAGCCCCTTTCACTCGAAAAACGTCTTACCGGACGTTAGTTTTCATATTCTCGCTCAGTACGACGCCGGACGTCACTGGTGCTCCAACGACGGCCGCGATTTCGCACAGCGCACCACCACATAAGGTAGGACGTGCGCTGTATGCGTGCCGTAGCTAATTTCACTTTCCGACTCGAGCTCGTGATAAGGACGCTGGAGGATTTTCGGCCGGCGAGTCTCGCGAGACCGTAGCTGACGCTACGGATTAATCACGGGCGAGCGAAACGAGCGTTAATCCTTGCGAATTAACTTGCGAGTCATACTGGCCACTAGGACTGTGAGACGGCACTTTTCAATACTTTCTCCGCGGATCGTGTGTGAACGATTTTTAGGACACTAAGGATTAGCATTGTCGAGGCTCATTAGTGTCTGATTGTGATGTCACAATTGGGAAAGGACCGTCATTTCCGGGTAATATTCATCGTCACATCGGCCCATTTTTGTAATGCAAGGGTGCAAACATTTTTACGAGCACCTCCGTGGATATATTCGAGGAAATTATTATTCCTTTCATTGTTGCGCGAGGATAGTCGAGGGACATTGAAAAAAAAAAAAAAAAAGAAAAAGAAACACGATTGATAATATTCAATTCTTTATTCTAATGCATATGTAATGATAATTTAATGGTATGATTAAGAAAGTTTTTTGCATTGATAATAATATTAAATGCAGGGGAAATTGGCATTCGGTTTATTATGAAATCAGACAGGAATAGAATGGACTTTTATTTAAAATTGCAAATTTAATGCATAATCAGTAGTAATAAGTCAAAAATATTTATAGTACCATTCATACATTGAGGAGTTATTTTCATTGACAAATACAAATGTTAAATTTACTTTTTATATTCATTGAATTCATTACTTATGAATAATTTCTATAAATGATATTCTTAAGACTTTCGTTAAGTAGCTAAAGTGAAATCATTTATATTTAGAATATTATGTCGCGCTCGCTAGCATAGCATATATGGGTTTTTTTTCTCATCGCGAGCGATCATTTCTTTTCTCTTTTCTTTTCATTTCGTTCTTGTTTTTTTTTCTTCTCTCTAATAGAAATTATAATTAAATATTTTCAGTCGCGCTATATTAATAGCGGTGTGAAGTATGTCTATTTATTTTTCAACATTTTGAAATTTCTTGATATCCCGTTATTAATATGCTTCGACTGCTATTATTCGCTAAATAAACTATTTTAATTATATTATTCTTAATAGTTTGCTTTATGTTTAAATTATAAATTGTAGAAGTGATAAATTTAAAAACTTTCTATTTTTTGTTAAATAATTCAAGTTGTTTTGAACCCCTTACATTCTAAACTCGACATTTATAACTCGAAAATTTATAAAATCCAATAAGAAAGTCTTATCCTAAATCTTGATATTATGAAATCAAATCTTGTATGATAGTGTGAAGTGGTATCATATAAATTTCTTACGGAGCGTATGTTAATAGATTTTTATTACTTTTTACAATAAATCTTTGTAGCATTAAAGCCGACGATGAGAACAATTAGATGAAAATAATAGGATTTAAATGTAAATGAAATTTTGGTTTTTTATATTATCTGTAGAACTCTATTGGTAAGTTACAAGTACGATTTTATTAATTATGGATATTAATTGAATGAAATACCCAATTAAATTAAACAGCAAAATCGCTTTGTTTGGCTTCAAAGCTGAATTGCCGACAGCATGGAATTGAAATAATGAAATAGACATCTTATTTTAGAAAATATTTATTTCATTACCCTATAACTGATTTTCAACATTCGAATTATTATTAAAAATTAAGAAACATTTCTTATTCGTTTTAAATTTCTGCAAGTCTAACATACAACCTCAATTACAGCTAATATTATTTCTAATTATAGTCTCTTAATTCTTAGTAAACGAATTCAAAAAGAAAATGACTCAAATAAAAAATTCATATCAATAAATACAAGGTTTGCTTGTAATTATATAATATTAAGGGCATTGGATTTTCTTATTAAGTTATTAATTCACGATCTACATTCCTGTCAAGGTTGGTTAGTACAATTTTTATTCGACTACATATATATATATATATATATATATATATATATATATATATATATATATATTATTCAAGTATAGATATAAGTAGTTATTACAGCGGTTATGTCATTATTTAATAAAGATTCTTGCGTTTAACTTTTTTCTTATATAATAAAATCCACAATGGTTTTACAGTATTAAATCTGGCGAATAAAATTACAACAAATTTACTTTATCGTAATTTTTACATCTTTTCTCATTATGGAATAACTTTCACCTTCTTTGCAGTAAATTTTTTAAATTTATCCCACTGTTATGGTAATTCTCGGACTTAAGTTAATTACTCATATATTCAAATTCAAATTCCCATTATGGAATAACGCAGGGCTTTCTTTCTTGTTGGAAAATTCCAATATTATATTTACATGCTTGTGTAATCACGAGTTTGATTATCTATAGATAAACTTGTGTGGATTTTAATTCATAATTACTTGCGTCAAGTATTACTTATTGTATTATTGAAGATTATCTCCTATCATAGCAATTACATTAATCGTTAATATTTTCTCTACTGTTATTATTATATAATGAAATTTTTCAATAGTTTCTGCAGTTGCGACCTATGCGAAGAAATTGATATTGAATAAAATTAGATTTTGTAAAAATTTTAAATTAAAAAAATAATTTATTCTTTGGGTAAACATATTTTTATAAAAATATTTTATATATATATATATATATATATATATATATATATATATATATATATAAATAATGCATTATATTAATAAATAATTATTTAAGATTTTACATTATTTCGAAGGGGTTAATTAACAAATTTTTACAAGCCTTTTTCTAAATACTTATGTATTCAACCTGAAAATAAAAATGTTTAAAATGACAAATTTAAATTTTAATATATTTATTTTACTTACTTATAATTAATAAACACTACATCTTCAAATTATTTTATTTATATGCAATAGAATTTCAATTATAACAAATTAAAAATTTCAAAACCTAATTTTCTAATTAAAATATTCAATTTAAATTTATCATTTAAAAATATTTTCAAATATTAAGATACAAATTAAAAATTTCAAAACATAATTTTCTAATTAAAATATTCAATTTAAATTTATCATTTAAAAATATTTTCAAATATTAAGATTATTATATTAACAATAATACAACATTTTAATCATGTCATTTTACATAATATAATTTATTAAACAATTTAAATTTCGTTTGGTAATTAAGTATCAAAAATCTGAATTATTTTTAGATAAATAAAATATATATATATATATATATATATATATATATATATATATATATATATATATATATATATATATATATGTATAAATACAAAATGAATTATTTTCAAATTAATGTTTTAAATGATATAAACAATTGATAGATACAAACATTTAAATTTATCGAACAAACTGTAAGGTTGATAGTTTAAAATTAGAGAAATATCTCTATATCCAGTAATTAAAAATTTATAATAATTTATTTTTTATTGTATTCAATAACTTTATTTTAAGCTATCTTCTTACTTATTTCTTAAAGATAAATTGAAAAATAATTATATCATCGAATGAAAGCTGTAAATTGAATGAAAAATTTGTTGGTTCTTTTTCAACATTAGAATCGCGATATAGAAATATTATATTATTGAAAGGAATCGATTTACCAAACTCGAAAGTCCAATAAATAAACATTTGAATATATTGATGAAGATTCTAATTTACTAAAACTATTATGAAGGAGCAAACGAATTTTTGTTGTCGTCTCAAAATTTGTTACAAAATTTAATTAGGTTTTAAAAAAATTTGTCCTTGGATGATTATTTTACTTTGATATATAATGAATGGAATAGACAGTGATTGCATTGATAATATGTATGTGTGAAATTTAATCATTAATCCATATTAAATTGAGTACACAATATATGCTTGTGTAATTATGTTTTGAAGTTATAAATTAAGAAAATTGTATAATGGAAAATCAAATTTAAATGAATGCAGTTCTATGTGAACCATAGTAAATTACAATGAAATTAAACGAAAATTTGTTAACCTAATAGTAAATACGATCGAAAAAACCTATTTAGGCAATAAAATTTTAATTTTTCTCAACGTGGCGCTATCGGAAAATCGTGTAGAATAGTTAAGTATGATTTTCTAGTTTCCTTTAGCTTATTCAATCTCAAAATACCTTTATTACTTATGCAAACGAAAATATGCTAATGTCTCGGCTAACTTTATTTTCATCTCTATTGCTCGATGTATCAAACTTACAATTTTAATAGCTAAATTTTTATATTTGTGTACTGAATATGTACTTGGGATTTGGGATTAACACGCCAGGAATTATTTGTCATAATAAATTTAATACAATGAATTAATATCCAGCATACCATACAAATAATTCCATAAAAACTATTATTTCTTATATTTAATCGTTTATTTGACTCACAAGGCATTTATTTCTTATATCGTTATATTTTTCTTTTTTATAACATACTTACGATTAATACTTTTATTATAAATTATCATAATAATTATCTAAGCGAAGAGAATTCGTTATTAAATACCATTTTCATTCGTTACTTCGCTCATTAAGCAATCAATGCATCGCTAGAAAATAATTATTATTTATTATGAAAAATTCAGTAAAAATTCAGTAAAAATTCAGTGGCAATATTCGTTCACATGCGGCACACGATTTTATAGCAAAGGAAGATGAATGGCAGCTTCAAGTGGCATTATACCTTTAAGCAATCAATTGCATTATCATCTCGCATAAATATATATATATTAGGCACTGATAATCGAGCCGGAGCTGGTGCAGGATTTTTCCCGGCCATCACGAGCTACGCGAATGAAAGATTGGCCCTCCTCCCGTAAACAGTCACCACGTCAAAAGTCGCCGCGCTGCCGAGCCGTAATACGACGAGTTCTCTAAACGGGGAGTTGCGCAAGGCATCGGAGGTCGGGGGAGAAAATGAGCCATGACGTCCCTCCGTCTGGTGTAACCGAGTAGAGGCTGCTGTTGACCGTCGTACCTCAGGATGCCAGCGTCGAAGGTCGTCGCCTGCCTGGCGGCTCTCCTGCTTCTCGGCCACTGTGAGTACAGAAACAAAAACAAAATGACGGCGCTCGTTCATCCTCTTTTATCGCCGCTGCGTGGCCTTCGCCTACTTACGTCGCCGCGCATAGCCTTTTCACTTTCCAGACTCGGATGCGCCGTTGCTTGACCTATGTATGCACAATCTATGCGGTCGACCTTATCCCAACCACTCCCGCGGCTTCTCACTTGGCGCTCGTCACGCGATCGCCGGCTTTTTGCGCGCGTTCGCCGATTTACCGTCTCTTACTTAACGTTGAAAGCGCGTGCGTTAATAGCGGGATTTCATGTGAGTCGAGAATGACTAGTTACGTAGAATTTTTGAAAAATTTGAATTTTCACTTTCGCGAATAATTGGAAAATTGCTATTTCATTCCGAGCCGTCGAAACGAATAAAAGAGACGATTAGATATAATTTTAAATAATGGAGATAGATAGATAGATAGATATATAGATAGATCAATGGAGATAGAGATAGAGATAGAGTGAGTGAGAGAGAGAGAGAGAGAGAGAGAGAGAGTATGATAGCTTTCTTAAAAGCGTAATAACCGCTGCCGATTGCAATTGACATATATTTGATGAATAATGCCAACCATTAAGAAATTGCTATTAAATATTTATTATTTTATAAAAACAATTAATTAGCCCGTAAATAGTACGTTTAAGTTATTTATATAGCGTTATTTCAGCTCTTTTAGAAATTTTATTATATTAAACCATTTGAATATTAAATTTTTACATCATCTTAAAAAATAATTATTTTATTTCAATTTTATAATAAATAGTATATTTAATATACAGACTTTACTTTTTTTCCTTTATTAGTAAAGAGTATTTATTATATTATTGTGTTAATTAAATATTGTACCTATAGAGTATCTTATGGGCTTTTATATTTTTATATTTAATAAAGAATATGTAAATCTTATTCATATTTTTTCAATCTTCAGTTCGATTATTCATTACAATCAGTTGTTTTTCATCAAAGAAATTTTTATATAATAACACAATTTATCGAACATTGCATTATTATATTAATTTTTGATATATAATATATTCTTATTGTAAACGATATTTCTCAGCGTTATATTATTATGTGAATATCATTTATTTCTATCGTAGTTTACGCTCCGATTTCCACTACAAACTTACTGTCACTTGGATGTAAAAAAGTGTCAAAGTGGAGATAAATTTAGTCTAAAATATAACTTTCACGTTGTTCTATATTGTTCGATAATGTTCTGTAAAGTAACCACTAATTCATTATTATTGTACAAAAAAAAAAAAAAATAAAATAAATAAATAAATAAATAAAAATTTAATCATTTAATCGAAACTCTGAATAATATACTTTTTTGAACAATATTTTTTCAATAATAGGATCAAAAATAAATATTTGTAAAAATTGTAAAATTTATGATTTCTTTTTGTTTTTAGATACCACGTGTTTGATTATCCCAGAAGAGCTTCCTACTATTCTCTCACTTATATATTCTAATATCCCACCAATTAAAAAAGGTAAACTTTGAAGCATTAAATTAATTGTTGACATTCGTTTCCACATTTTCGAGTCTCTTAAATTAATAGATTTCGAATATATTTCGAACGAATATAAGATGCTTTTATGAATATAATGAGAAGTCTAAAGGGCCATATTGCAATTTAATATTTAATTAGCTATCTTACATAAGAGTCGAATAAAATTATTATTAATAAATTATGAAATCATTCTACGCTCTATAAGATCCGTATGTTGTTCATCATTCAATGTTGCCGACTTTGATTCGCCTGAATTTTTCAGGCACTGATTCAAGACTCGGTGTTGGCTTTCGACTCGGCGAGCACGCGGATTTTCAAATTATCGTAGAGCTCGGGCCCCAAAAATATACCGACTCAATTGGGAATGACGTCGAGTCGAAGAAGAAACGAGCCGTAAGAACTACAAAATTCTTTAAATGTTTGCTTCACGGGTCATTGGTGAATTATTGTGAAGCAACTCGCATTATAATATACGCAATTTGCTATTGCAATATGAAATATTTATTCCTCGATCAAATAATAACTAGCAATTGTTTAAATTTTCATCACTCCTATTAACATTTAGTCATATTGTATAGGCTTCGCTTACGTGACATTTTGTTACAAAATCTTAGTAAATATATTATTTTTACGTAGTCGAGTAGAAACGCTTTTCAATAAGTACAAATAAAATATTGATAAAAAGTTTACAAAAAAAAAAAAAAAGAAAAATCGTCTTTATATCGTATTGTATCATTTAAATATAATATATTTCAGTGGACAATTAAAATTATATTTCTTTGTCATATAATAATTTATATATGAATTAAATTATTATCCGATATAATTGTGGCTTTGCTTCAGAGATTTAAATTCAAATAAACAAGTGCTTATAAAATAAAAATATTATATTAACAACTAAGTTGATATTGATAAAACGAAACTATCAGATCTCAACGTGATTTTATATTATTTACTCATTATTTATTTATACGTTACATTAAAAGTATGTCAATAGTTTTACAATCGTACACTTTTTATAAATCACTACCTTATTATTATTATTATTAATTCAAGAATCAATAATGTTTGATCATGCGATGTATTTTTTTTTTTCAATTGCATGTTAACGAAGAAGTTTGCACATACATTTGAATAAATAAAATGATCTTTTAATCTGTCTGTGTGTGTGTGTTTTTTTTTTTTTTTTTTTTTTTTTATAAGACGATGTTGTATGCAGCAATGAGAGGTGATCTTGGGCCATGGGCTCAAGCTGTGGCTAAATATCAAATGGAAGAAAAAATTAAAAAAATACTAGAGTATTATAAAGAAAGTCCTGAAAAATTGTCCAAAGGAAATTTGAATACGACAACTAAAAAAGTTTGTTCAATTTTATTTCAAGTTGCTTGTGTTGTAATCGGATTGCGATGCTTTTCTGTAACAAGAGTTATTTTTCAGACTGAAGGGGGCGATTGGCTATCGAAATGGAAACAACAGACATCAGCTGTAAATTCCGTAGATCCTTCACTGATAAAAGAAACGACCACTGAAGACATTTTGCCTAAAGTTAATCGTATGAAAGTCGTAAATAAAGAAATAAGTAGCGACAGTCGAAAGAAAAGCGCCGAAGCCGATCTTACTATATTGAAAAAACTTTTCGACAAGAATGCAAATTGAAGTGTTTGACGGGATAATTGCTGCTTAGCTTCGGTGAAACACGATGACTGAAAAATGAAATCGTATTGACTCAAATGCTGAGAGTTACCAGAGTAATATAATTATCGATTTTTTACATGTAAATGTGAGCCTGTATAAAGGAACATTTATTTATAAAATTTAAATATAGTCACGTGTGACATATATGAATCACATATATGAAGTGTAAAATACAGTGAATTGCTAATAGCGAAATAAGAAAATCAACAAGATTATTGTAAATAACAAAATAATCATTTGTCTTAATTTGTCTTAGATTTTGTGAATGCGAGTATACAAAAGGATTAATAAAATTTTATTAACAGATATTTTGGTTTTTTTTTATTCAATATTATTGCTTAATAAGATTTATCATACGTATTTTTATTTAAGATTAAGATATTATTACCATACTAAAAAAAAGTAATTTTCATCATTAGCGTATCTATAATTTTTGTAAAAGTTTTTTGAAAAGTTAATGACGATTCGCTGTTACATTCATAATTGTAAGTCTACTTTTAATATAATTACAAACGCGAAAGTATATCTAGCTTTTTCATTTAATATAATTATACTTTATCATAGCAAAACTAGTATTGAAACCACTTAATTAATACATTTCCATATTGTCGTATATAAATGAAATTTTATATTACGATACTAATTTGTCTTTTTCATAAGTTTAGCTTTTTTTCTTCTTCTTTTTTTTCTTTTTTTTTTTTTATCGAATTCTCGTTATTTGTCGTTGTTGTTTTATAATTTAATATTGCTAACTTTAAATTCTGAACTAGAAAAGTGTTTTTTAGAGAAATAGAAAGAAATCTAAATAAATAAAAATTGATGAATATTGCGTAGAATAAGAAGTCGTTTAAGGCCAGATGCACATGTTTTTTTCGAGTAAATTATAGTAAAATAGCTAGTAACCTTCAACATTGTTTCTTTTACATATAACGTGGATGTTGTATACTTTCAGTTAATTAACAAAAGTAAAAATACTATTTGTCTACTTAAACAATAAAACGATGTTTGCTCACGACTGGGTAAGAAATTCATAAAAACAGTGATAGATTGAACGTAAAAAGAAAATAGAATGGTTTACGGTCAATTAGGGCATTGAATATAATAGCTACATAGTCAATATAGATGACAATTTACTTTCTCCAATGTTAAAATGAAAGTTCAGATTAATCTTTTGATATTGTAAAAGCTTAAGGTATTATTTTCAATTGTGTAGATTTAAAAAGATTTCTACGAATTATTGAAAAAATTTGACTTTTTTACCAAGATTTTGATGATTCATCAGGTATCTGTAAATAAAAAAGATGTTAAATTACGCGTAAAAATCGAAATAAGAAATTATATTAAAAATCTATAAAGAATTTTATATTTTTTTTTATTGAATTTAATTTTTATATAAAAGTTCTAGTTGGACGTAGACATCTTATATAATACAAAAAATAATTCTATATGTTTTCATAGTTATTAAATATTTTCAATATATATATATATATATATGAGAGAGAGAGAGAGAGAGAAAGATAAGGTTAAAAATAAATTCAAGTAAAAATAATTATACAAAGTTTGCTAATACCTTTGGCCATTGCAAACGAAAATAAATGTTCGTTACGTATTTGCCCCTGAGATACTTTGAATATACGCTGGAATAATTAATTTATCGATACTCATTAAATAATAAAATGGCAAAGCAAAATTTTATTATAACAATGAGAGTTATTGCATAGGTTTATTATAATAATAACTATTAATAGTATCATTCAATATATGCATTATGGTTAAATAATATATCGTAAGACCGATTGTAATGAAATGTGTTTATGAAAATACATTTTATTTTTAATATTGTTTAAAAATTGTCAAAAATTGTCAAAAATTGTAAATAAAAAAAAAAAATTTTTTTGCCAATATAAAATGTTTAGAATCTAATGGGAAATTTTGTTAATTTAGAGAAATTTTCTAAGCTTCATTCGATAAAATCGGATATATGGTGCTTCGCAGAATTTAAAAATATAACTATTTTCACCATAAGACTCAATTTGAATTTTTGAATTTATGGATTTTTATAGAACAGCACAATTGATGTTCAAAAATATAACTTTGTAAATAAATAAGATATTGATTAAATGATAATGTTCGGTTATCTGCAAATAGTACTTTGAAAAATTTCTGTCTAGCGAAATCTTATTGATCAAGTTATTTATTAATCTAGAATAGAATTATTATTATTATTAGGTATTTGTTGAAATTTCACATATATCATAGTTAAAAATTTCTACTTCCATGTATTTACTTAGTAGAATTTTGATATTAATTATTATCATTAATTGTTATTAATTATATTTGATTTTCACATTTTGATATTAAAAATTACGTAAAATATCTTTTTTTTTTTTTTTTTTTTTTTTGGAACAATTATTATTGAATACATAAACAATTTATTGCGTGTTGTAAGATTAAATGTATTATGATTATTAAAAAGAAACATAACAAGTTTTCGTAACGTAGATAAAAATGATTGATTTGACTATTATATCTCCTGGCTCATATACATTTCGTTATTTATCGATAATATTTTATAAATAAATATACTTCTTCGATATAAAATATGGTATGTATTTATTGTAGTCAAATTTATTGCACAGATAAAAAAAAATTCATTGTCAGATTCTTACGTTATTGTGATTTACTAAAAGTAGATAATGAATGTTTCTATTCGAATTTATAATCAAATCATTTTTATCGACACAGTTCATTTCTATAATCATTATTATACATTGAATATTTTAGAAAGTTAGTTTTATGTTAAAATTATGCTTAAAAATAAATTCAAGACATCATCTACTGTATATTAGAAATATACTGAATAATTGTATTATAAAAAATTGATGTTATTTTATAAATATATGATATTATTTATAAGCAGTGTAGAGTCGTATTTATGAAAAACAGCGGTTTATGTTATAAATATATGTAAATATTTGTGAATGTAAGGACAATTTTTGTTAAGAATAATATGAAATAGTATATAAGGATAATGTTTTTAAAAAGTGACGGATTAATAATTATTTTTATATAAAAATATAAGTGCGAAGATAAAACGAATAAGCACAATTAAATATTTTGCAATGAGAATTATTGGTATTCATATCAATATAAATCTTAATCTTGATTAAAACAAAGTGAAAATTGTTTATGCATAAAGAATTTTGAAGAATATAAACAATTTACATATACCTGGACATTTTAGGGAACTTAGATACGAACATTTTTGCATAATTAAATAGAAAATAACGATATAATAGGAAGTCTATCTTTCCTTAAAATAAGTTAACAATCTCTTTTTATTCTTTAAATCTATACTTGATTAATTCTTACAGTATTTAATTAAATAAGTAACTTCAAAATTTTATATTCAGTTAAAATTCATTTAAACGTATTTAATATAATACATCAAGTAGTGCAATTACGTTTATTATAATGTGAAATCTTAGAGTATCTTCAATAATTTTTTCATTGATCGTCGAGAATTTTGCAATATCTGCTCATCACAAATAATTGCATGTCTATGAAATTTTTTTATGTTATTTATGCGTTTTAAGTAATTAACTGTGTTGCCAAGTTTTTATTGCTCCAACAGCATTAATTAGAAGTTTTTATAAAGCATGTAATTAATATAACTTTAAACATGATTATTATTAATAGATTTTCATGTCCATTACTTTGAATATAATAAATCCGTAGACTTTCCTCGTCGTATTTTGCTTTAAAAAATTGTTATTCATGCGTGTGTGCGCGCGCACGCGCGCGAGACCCTGTATTACATATACATATATAATTAGAATATAATGATGTGTCAAATTAGATTTTTAAGGGAAATTTAATATACTTAATTTGCTAGAATAAAATCTTTTTATTTATATATATTTATATATGAAATAAGGATATTATGATATTAATAAAAATATTAACATCCTCTGTTAGACATTAGCTTATCAATCGACATTTATACTTTCATATGTAAAATTGGGATATATTTTATGCGATTAATTTTATGTAAATAACTTGATTATAAGTAGCTTAGAATCAAAATATGTTATGAAAATAAAGAGAGATAAAAAAAAGAAGAAAAAAAAAATTATCCACATAATATGTGTCTTTTAAAAATACTCGTGAAATAGAATTATTTATATAATATTTTAAGTATAAATAATAATCGATATATATATATATATATATATACATAATACATATATTTAATTAAAATAAAAAATACTTATTAAATAATTATCAAAGCGAATAACAAATGTTTTTGAGTTTTTGATTTTTTGAGTTATCTTGCGTTGGCAAAAACGATTTAACTATTCCAACAATTATTGTAAGAATGAAATGTAATGTTTTCTTTTTTCACTGACATTTTGCAATAAAATTTTATCTAACTGATTGTATGCAAATTGTATTCAAGTACTCTTTCGAAAATACTAATTTTAAAATTGTAAATCAATATAGAATTGTGCTTTATTGCTCATTATTGTAAATTTTTATCAATATGACGTTGTAGACATTCAATGGCATTAAATTTTGGCCCAGTCATTACTATTTTCTAATATAAATCGATTACGTTGAAAAAATTAGTTTTTGCAATTATAAAGTTTTAAGAATTATATAGATTATGATTAATATATTGCATGATGACACGGTACAAAATTATATAATAATTTCAAGAAAGAATAATGTATTATTTGTTAAATAAGAGATTAAGAATTCTTTATACTACATAGGTAAGTTATATGTTTGGCACTTTTCCGGCCTTTATTAGCGTTAGTTATTTTATTTATTTTTTTTTTTTTTATAATATATAATGAAAAGGCGTGGAGTTTATTTTTTAAAATTGTTGAATTTTAGTCATATTAATAGATGTATTTACTTGATAAATGAATAATCTCATTCTATATCCTATGTTTTTATACAGGAAGATTTTGAAGTTGAATAATTATCAATAATATTATAT